TTGTAATGTTGGTATATCTGATTCAATTGAATCTTTATTTGCTTGAGGTGAATTTAATAAAATTTCTTCTGATGTTAAAGGTAAAAGAAGTAATTCATTTCTTCTATGTTAATATGAAATAAAACTATGAAGAAATAATTTTCCTTATTTATGAAAACTATTGGGAAATAATATCTGATGATAACGATGAAGATAATCAATAATAAATTGATATTCATTTTCATCTATTATATTAAGTCGTTGAGAAAGATTAAAAACTGTTTCGTGTTTTATCATATATCACAAAAGAAAAGAAAAAAAAAATTCTAAAAAGAAATTTTTATTTGATATCACAAAGTAAAGCAACACCACGTAAAATCCAATGTTCAGGAATATCATTCGATGCTAATTTAAGCATAGTTATAAAATGAAGATCTGTACGTATTGGTTTTTTATAGACTGGACACATGTAAATATATGGTGCAATTGAAATTTGATCATTTCGTTTTGTTCGAAATGATATTTGATTTAATTGTAATTTTTTATTAGTAATTATTCCAGTTTTTTGATTAGTTACAAATGGATTTATAGCAAATATATGTATAACAGGCATTTGAACATAAACAACTTTATTTTGTGATTCATGTAAACGAGTATTTTTTCTATCCCAACCAGCACCTTCCAAATAAAGACCATATACATAAACACCCTTAAAAATAAAATAAAATGAGATATTTAAGACTATATAAATGTTTTAACATTTTTTTTACTTCAGTCGGTGCTTCTCGAATATCATCTTTGTATGAACGAAGTACAATATTATCTATTGTTACAGTATCAAGTGACCATCCTTTATGTATTCGTGTCACTTCTTGTCGCATAGCTGTAAGAAAACCTATTAAACAAAGAAAAAGAATTAGATATGACCTTAGACTAAAGACCATCGAGTTGAAAAATGTTGGACTTAGATTTAGATTCGGAACCAAACATTAGTCTTACGAGGGAAGTACCTCAACTGTCAAATCGCTTTCGAGTCGGGAGTATGTGCGTAATGTAGGTTCTAATGAGCTATGAATATCCTGAAAAGGATTCGTGCTGCTAGCTTATTACTG